GACCTCTGGAAGAGATGGAATGGGGTGGTGCAACTGTCTGTTTTTCTTGATCTCTCGGTGGCATTCAATGCCACTGATCACAGTATTCTTCTGGACTGGCTACAGGGATTAGGAGTGGGAGCAGAATGCTGCAGTGGTTATCTTTTCTCTGTAGTAGGTTCCAGTCAATGTTGGTATGGGGATGTTGGTAGTCTGTGGCATGTGGGTCCCACCAGGCTTGATGCTCTCTGAGAGATTGTCTGTCTCCTGAAATTTCTGCCAATGCTGTATGATTGGACAAAGTTGTCATGGCTAAGTTCCCATCGATTAAACAATCATTAAACATCTGATAAGACCCAGGACTCAAGCCTTCTCTGTTGCAGCATCTGCCTTCTGGAAGAGCATGTGCAGGGGCGCGCGCACACACACGTACACACACACAAGATTTGTACACTCCACCCTGGCCTCATTTAAATGGGCCATACAAACCTTCTCATGTTTTGGATTAGGGTGTGTGGTGGGCCTCTAATGCGAAACTTCTGTATCCAGGTTATGTGTTTCATTGCTCTTTCTGGACAATTATCATTCTTTTTTATTTGTTATATTGTTTTGAATCAGTTTTTTAACATTGTACGCTGCCCAGAGTTTTTATGGAGTTGCTTGGTCTCAGCAGTAGAAATTTGATAATTAAATAAATGATTTGCTTTACCTCTTCCATGGAGAGGCCCAGCATGGAGCCAACATGCCTTCCTGCTACTTTCTCTTTTGCAGAGGGAATGAGGTTTTTCATCTCAGCATCACTGGCAGAGAGGGGCCGGGAACGCTATAGGATCACAGTAAGAAATCAGTTTTAGCCTTTTTTCTTCTCCTGGTTTTATTCCAATTATTTAAATACATTTCAAATGCCAGATGCATTTGGCCAGCAAATAGTAATAAAAACGACAACTTGCCAGGCACCAAAGCCAGGAATTACGCTAAAGTCAGAAAGATCCAAAGGCACAAATGCCAGGTTTTATACTCCTTGCCTCTACGCCCCATTAGAAACCAAAGCCAAACTTTATATTCTCAGTGTTTGATACACACCCCAAAGCAAGAGCCAGCATTCACAGTTTCTGACTCCACAGGCAAAACATTAAACATGTTTCTTGTTTGTTTGCCTATGGCCAATATTCTCAGTTCTCAATTGCTTAACAGCCCATAGTTCATCGTAATCTGTTGGGGATTATAGTAGGGAAGAACAATTTCAGTCATTGATATCTTCATCTTGGTGTCTTTATCAATTTCAACTGCTAAAACTGTCTTTGCAGAGACTGCATTTTCTCCAATTGCCTTCATTTTAGCTGTAAGGTAGCTCTCTGAGCATGGGCAAGTACAAAATGGAAATAAAATAATAAAATAAAATAAAATCTTGGCAACACTTTTAGCCCATCTGCATGGCCAACACTAGAATAATACTAGAATCAATGGTTTTGGAGACAATACATTCCTGAAGAAAAACTCCTCTAGACAACTTAATACACAACAAAATATGCATTAAAATGAAAAACCAAATAATAACAGTTACAGTACAGAATAATAAATAGAAGAAATGCCAGAAGTGAGCAAGCATTGTATGAAGGCCCTCCAGAAAAGGCCCTCCTTAATTTTTCCAATTTCCAGAGAACTGTCACCAAGAGAGCCAGTTTCATTTCTGGTGGACTGTGCTCCAGAAAATTGTCTCCATGATGGAGAAACAGCACTTTCTATCCTCAGCTCCCCTCACCTCACAAAACTGGGCACCATCAGCAGGTTCTCCCAGAAGGATCTCCTGAGGTGGAGACTCAAGTTGGAGCAGGTAATCTGAGTGGGTTTCAAAGGCAGTCTCATGTACAATATATTGTAGTAATCCAACCAGAGATAATGCGGGCATGAGTAACTCTAACCAGGTCCTCCAAGTTCAGGAAGAGCAGCAACTAGTGCACTAATCATTGCTAGGTAAAGGTACACTTGGCCATGGTCTCAACCTACCCACCCAGCAGTATTCATGATTCTAGGCGGACTCCCAGTCCCAGATCTGCTCCCTCAGGGGGAATGCTACCCCATTGAGAGACAACACTGGAATTGATAACTCTGATATACCAACAGTAACTCATCTTACAAGATTTGTCATATTTATAATGTTCATTTCCTAAACTTTTTCATTTCAGAAACACCTTGAAAATGTATTTTATTTTGCATTTGCACTGAAGGAATTCACAATACCAAAAAAAAAAAAAAAATCCAAAGTACACATTATGTATACACAAACTATCTTAGACATCCTATACAATCCTGGAAACTAGCTTGGCCATAATAGCCAAGCAGGTCATGAGCAGACACTGATAAATTTGCTACTTATGTGCCTCCCATAACCAATCCATTCTTCTATCTCCAGGAAACTGTCCATCTTTGGCTCCTGAAATGCATGGAATGTACTGCTTTGTACCTGACACTTCCAACATATTGAGAAAATAGCTGCAGGCAGTAGAAATATTTAATATTGTTTTCAGCCACAAAATGCAGAGTACACGCAAGGGTTCCCAGTGTGGCACTCAGAAGTTTCTGCTGCAATAGTGAGAAGTAGTTTTCCTAGCCTTAGAACCTGGCAGGAATATGAGCTGCATTCACTGGAGCATTCCTTTTCTTTGCTTTGGAGTTGGGGCACAGAAAACACTGCCCAATCCTCAGATTAGAACAGCGAAAGTGAAAAGAAAGAACTTGGTGTTGCAAGTACCTTGAGAAGAACCTCTGCTCCAAACTACATTCCTATTATTGAGGCACAACTGCCATTCTGAGATGTGACAGTTGCCCTTCTTGTTATTTCCTGCTGGTTCCCAAAAGGAATTATTTCCAGAACTACTGGAAAAAAATGCATCTGTCAGAAAGTCAATAAGGGACATTTTCTCAATAAGATTGAATTATCTGTAATATGGTATTCATGTTAATTCTTCTGGAGGAGAATTATCAGAGTTCTCAATACTTGATCTGTTATCTTTGGACAAACTATTATCACGTAATTTATAATTTTATTTCTTTTTTCTGAAATATAGGACTTATTAATATAAAGGAGCTTGCCAGATTAATTCAAAGGTCCATTTAGTTTAGAATGCCTTCTCATTAATTCAACAAACAACATAACCCATGTAACTAGTTCAAATATGGATTTCTTCCTCTTTTAAAAGAAAAATGAAGAAAAACAATAGTTTTTTCCCCTTGGATAAGATAGCTTTAGATTCTTGGATTCCTAGTATTTCAGTTTCCCTTAGATTCTTGAATGCTTGCTGTGAACAAACTCCTGTGTCCTGTACATGTATGCCACTGCCACCACTAAATTAGCCTTCAAGGTTAATATTTCTTTTTTTATCATCTTCAGGGTTTGTGTTCTCAGCTTAGCTTTGCACTTATTTTCTTTTTACACAAGCATTTTTCCATATTTCAGGAATGTTGGTACTTGCATCATTTTGCAAAATAGTAAAGTGATATAAGAACTGCACAATCTTGCAATTGTTTAATCACAAAATGGGATTTCTGTAGCATAAATAGCATTCACAGAAGAAATGTTAAAGGAGGACAAACACCTTAAAAATAGTGACAGAATCTAACTACAGAACATGAAAAGAAAATGCAGGATATAAAAATCTTATATTGGATTTGATTTATACACTGTCCATAGTTCCTATATTTAACAAAATTGTAGTAACTAGAATCATCTAGAATCTAGAATCATCTATCTTTCACACAGAGATATTTCCAAAGAAATCCCAGGTTTCCATAATTAATTACAGTTTTGTAACTTTTGCCATTAGAAATACATTTTTATTCTTGTCCATTAACTTCCTTACCACAACTATTTGCATCACCTTAAAGATCACTGCAGATATATTTCTTTTAAAAATGCAAAGTACACTGATAAATTTCTAAATGATGAATGAAGCAACATAGAGCCCAATATTTACCAATTTGGCATTTGATGATCGAGACTGTGCAGAGACAGGGCGCTATAAAATAAAAAGAATAAAAATTTCATGTTCTCTTTCAAAATCACCAATTGTCTGAAATTAGAGCATTAATTTCTGATGTACATAAAAATGTACCTTGTGTTTGCTTCATCCTCTCCAGTTTACTTATAAAACTTAAGTATGTCATTCAAGACATTTAGAACTCAATATACAAAATATGTAACACCAAATATGAAGTGCTTAAGTGCCCCATAGGCTGAAAGGTGGAGGATGCTAAAGGGGGTCATCCCTTGGACAAAGCCACTTCATGGATGGAACTCTTCCCTGCCCTGCATTTTAGTGTGCTTGCCTGAGACATTCTTCTCATGATAGCGGAGGAGGGAAGAGGAGGCTCCAATCATTGTAATAACAGATAAGGCAAAATACATTGTTGATAGGTAAGGAGAAGAGAGATCAGGCATTTTGTGCCTGTCTCCTCTTCTGGTTATTCTTTCATTCCAGACAACAGTGGTAACCATACTAGCTTGCCCTCTGGCATGTTGGCACTGTTTTTAAATGTCAGGCTGGTAAATAACCAAGGTCTCTCTCATCTATGACTTCACTGTGGATGAGAGAAGCACTTGGCTTATATAATTGAGCATGGCTTGGAGATTTGTGAGATGACTCTTGAAATAAATAAGTAGATGCTTACTGAAACTCCCTTTCTCTTTCCAGGCTTCCTGTCCATGTTAGTGCCAATGTAATGTGCTTTTTCTGATGCTGGGCACTCAGGAGAAAATCAGATTCTGTTGATATATCATCTATTCAGCTGCCCAGCAGTCCTCATGTCTAAGGGTGATCTTGGATTTGGTGCCAAGACTCCTAGAATGATGATTCTAGGGCATTTAAATATCCATGGCATACACTAAGGTTGGAGTTGCTCAGGGTTTCATGGCAGCAATGTGGCAGGACACATTCTCAATCCGTTTGTTTGTTTTCTTACTGGTCACAAGGATTGCAATCTGAAGCTGAAGAATTATTTTTGCCAGAGTTGGACCACTTCTTGTTGAGATTCAGACTTCAGATAAATATTCCTTTCTGCATAGTTGGGGACCCATTAGGAAGGTCCACCTGCAAAGAACAACAGATTCCAGAGGGTTTTCAAAGTTTTCCTGGCATTTATGTGGGTACTTTGAGGTGAGAACCCAGGTCAGTCTATCAAATATAGAAAAATGACCCAGGCAATTTTCACAATTGCCACTGAGCATCCTGTATCACTGTGCAGGTGCCCTTCAAAAATTTGGTATGCAGCCACCTGAAGATAATGAAGCAAGCTGGGAAACATCTGGAATGCAGGTGGAGGAAAATACATCCTAAATCTGATTGAACACTATTAAGAGTTTGTTACTGAACCTACTCTGTGTTGGTAATGATGGTGAAGAAGTAATTTTTCTCTTCCTAGAACACTTTTGGGAGAATTTGTCCAAGTTAGGTTTGATTTGAACAGCTCTGCAATGTTTCCAGTTTTACCTGGAGGCTGTCTCCAGAAAGCGATGCTAGGGGACTTCTGCTCAGTCCCATGGCATTTATATTTATAGGGTTTGGCAGTATTACATTTTATCCCCCACTGTATTTGACATATTACGAAACTGCTGATCAAGGTCATTCTGAAATTTGAAGTGATATCATCAATATGCTGACGGCACACAGACCTCTCTGTTTTTATAAAAGCCAGGCAAAATAGTGGAAATGCTGAATCAGTGCTTAGACTGGAAACTGAAAATGAAAGCAAAGAAACTGAAGCTCAGTCTGGAGAGGTGCTGTTAATGGATGATCTGCCTGCCCAGGAGAGTTCTGCAATGGATTGCATTCCTCCTAAAGGACTGAGTTTTAGTTGGGAGTGCTTCTATACCCATCTTTGTCATTAGAAGCAAATTGTTCTCTGTGGAGTGATGCACCTTTTGCCAATTTAGGATAGCTATTCTACAATAATCCATGCCTTGCTACTACACTGTAAATGTGGCATTCCCGGGGTTGCCTTGAAGATGGACTAGAAACATCAATTAATACACAATATTGCAGAAGACTACTACATTACAAACAGTTTAATACAACCTTCATTTGCTTTTAAGAACTGGTATTAACCTATTAGGATTTTCATAGTTTGGGAGCACAGTACCTGAAGAAATCTGGTTGCGTATATTTTCATACCCTAAAATCAATTTTGGATGTTTTGCTTTGAGTATTCTGCATAGCAAGCCTTATACATCATGGTGTCTGCCCTCTGGAAAGACATTCTCCCAGAGAGATGTTTGTCCCCCCCGGCTTTTTTTAAACAAGACCTTAAAACCTGGGGCTAGGGTGGTGGTGGACTCCTTACAGAATCAATCAAAAGTAGGTAAATAAATAAATACATAAATACATAGAGAGGGGCTACCTGGAGGCAGGTTTTTTTCAGTGGTAGCCTTCCATACGGTATACCTGGCATTGACTTCATTATCTTTTCAGCACCAGGCAAAATCATTTAATTCTTCCAGACATTTTAACAAATCAAGGTTAATTTTAAACTTTTATGCTTCTGGGGGTACTTCTATTGTTGTAATCTCACTGTACTTTAATTATCAAGTTTTATTGTGAATTTTAACTGTGCAGAATTTCATTGCTTAATTGTAGTGGATTGTAAACTGCTCTGGAAAAGCCTCATTTTGCACCACAGCACAGATGTAATAAATAAATAATGCCACCTTATTTTATAGGTTCATATGATAGCTAATAGTAAATTTGGGTAACAAGTATATTTGAAACATTTGAAACCCTAAGAAATGAACAAAAGGCAATTTAATTTAGATCAAAAATTTGTTCAGAGTTTGGGAAACATGAAAGGCTTCACATCGGCTTGCGGCGCTAAATGAGTAGACAGTAGATGTCTAGCAGCAATTATTCTTCTGGTGCTAGTATCATTTTACATGGTATGGAATAGTGATCAAGACTCACCCTTCACTGGAGGTAAGGGGAGTTTCTTTCCAGGAATTCTGCATCCAGCATTTCCCACTTGGACACATTTGATTCAGCCTGTCCTCTGCCACCCCTCCTATGCACAACTGAGTCCAGGCCTATATGAAGCCTAAGCCCAAGTGACTGACACAGCTATATGTTACTTCATTGCTTACCCCAGTGTTGTCCAAACTTGGCCACTTTAAGATGAGTGGACTTCAACTCCCAGAATTCCCCAGCCAGCATGGCTGGCT